ACTCATCTTTGGAAGGTCATTTTTGACAGCCCTAATGACAAGAAAGTCTATATATATATATAAAGTGTGTGTGTGTGCACGCCGCGTGTATATAAAACTATAAAAACTATATGTTCTTCATAAACTTGCACGCTCAGACTGATTTAAACATAATATTTTAAGAAATATGTGCAGATGTAGCTTTATGTGCATATGTACCCGAATTATGCAAGATCAAGTGCTTGCATAAATGCAGCAAAAATGTTGTTCCCCAGTCCAATATAACTATTTTTATTTTAAGTTCAAACTTTGAGTTAATGGACAAATTTGAACAATGGTACAATAATTATCCACTGCAATGTTTTCCCCCCCTTCATTTATGCAATTTAAAAAACCTGTAGATAATTGATTAACGAAATACTTTAATTTTATTTTTCCAGGCTCTCAAAGTTTCTGAAATGCCTCAAAAGATCAAGAATCTAATTACAGTAGATGCAGATAACATTTTTCAGGGCATCTTCATTATGAGTGACTTGTGGGGCTCTCCAATACGTTTAGTATTGGGTATCTATATTTTATGGGTTTTCGTTGGAGCTTCGTGTTTTATAGGTGTTTTAACAGCTTTCTGTCTGATACCCATAAACATCATTGTTGAACATTGTAGTTTAATTTATCAGGTAATATTCTGTGTTTACATTTATTATACTTATTTTTAAAATCTTACCATAAGACTGATATTTCAAGCAGAAAAACAAACAGCAGAATAAAAACCAAAATGGAAACCATTTTGCCCCAAAATATTTCTTATTCTTAACACTTAATGGACGAGCCACGTAAATTTACTTTCTTCCATTGCCACTCTCTGGGATAGATCACGTATCCAATGCATTTAATATTTGGGTATCTATATCTTATGGGTCACAAAGAGAGCAGTCACGTGAATCGGCTAAGCCAATACGAAGGAGGCGAGACTTCAGACTGTCATGTTCAGTTAAAAGTCTAAAACCAGCCACAGCTGCTTTTCCAAGGGCATTAGGAACATAGCTGAGCTTTTAATCTCATGCATGTTTTTGTAATGATCAATTAGATGCTAAATGTAAAAAAAAAAATACTAGACAAAAAATTATTACTCAAGCACTAAAAGAATAAGTAACTAGTGGTTAACTTACATAGGTTTCATTGAATTAACATTTTACAGAAATATTAAGGCCGCGGTTGAGATGAGCTGACTAGGTGGAATCTGATTTTCTTGAAATTAATTGAAGATCAAAAATAAATCGGAAGTCGTTATGGGGAAATCTTCAGAGGAAAGCATTGGCCCACATTGGGCTGTCTGGCCAGCTATGATGATGATGATTTTCTTGCAAATTCTCATAAGATTCCATGGCTACCGCATGTTATTTTTTCTTTAAACTTTTAACTTCAAGATTTAATATGCCTAAACGCTTGTGTTGCTACCATTCTCAACAGCCTTTCAAGTTAGCAGTTATACAATTAAGGCGTATAGATTTGTGTAAAAAGTGGGCAAAAATAACCAAAAGTTTGTAAAATTTAGTTTGTAGTTCTCTACAATTCTTTAATATATTTCGTCGAAACCAGAGAAATTGGTATCTCTGCTCTCATAGATTCTCAGAGAATTCTCGAACTGATTTATTACCTTCAAAAAAGAATACGCAGTTTTGGTCACAAAAGTATTAAGTCATCAAACTTTGTACGGCCCATGGATACATGATCAGTTAAATTAGACAAGAAAAAATTAATGATTAATTTTAACACTAGGTTTACGGGACACGTCATTTTGACGGATTTCGACTGTTCCGGAAGATTTTATTTTCATATTTAAAGTGGTAGTAACTAGATACTATTTTTTCTTTTATAATCTTAATTTTTAAATGATATTTATCACCACTATTCTTACAAAAATTAAGCACAGATATTAATATGCGTTACTATCATGGTTGTCAACTTAAGTTTTCTCAATACAACGTATTTGTTTGCTTAAAATTGAAGTTTTAATTCCATTTTAATACCACTGGGAAAAATGATAATGGAAGGGATTAAAAGATGGCAGGTATGGGAATGTACCGACAATACTTCGATTCGTTATCTCAAATAAAACAAGTGATAAACAACTGTTGCCGATAAGCAGTAATAGAAAGAACAAACGCAGAATGTCAATTGATGTCAGCGTGTCAGATTTTAAAATTTTCAGTTGCTTAGTTCGAGTATTGAAACATAAAATACTGGAATATTTCATAAATATATATCTCATATCTTCATTTTTTTTCTAATAATATATATATACATTGGTTTCTAAGTGCAGAGATGCCAACTGCTCCAGACACGTGAAAATAATTAAAAAAATGGTAAATAACAACAAATTAAATTTTGAAAATATGAAGTGGTGAATTATATAGGCCTACGAATTATTTAGAAATAGTGGTGGATAAAAATCTGCTAAATTGAATTTATTAAATTAAGAATCACAATTCTTTCATACGTCAAATTGATGTGTGTTCGTAGAGATAGGTATATAAGAAATGTCCGTAAACCTAGTGTTAAAAAAATTTCTATTTTTTTTTCATATTTATGTTTCAGAAAAAAGCAAATGATAAAAAACATGAAATGATTGAAGTGTTGTCCGAATGCATTCGAGGAATGAAAGTAAGATTTTAATTTTTTTGAATAAATTAATGATACACTTCCTTTTCTCACAAAGAAAAAATATACTTTCAGATTCTAAAAATGTATGCTTGGGAAGAATTCTTTCTTGAAAAAATCATTAAACTTCGAAGAGAGGAAATTGGAAAGTTTCGAAAAACAACTGGCTTAAGACTTGCGTTTAAGTTTCTCTTTCTCTCTTCAACGTCAATGGTAAGTAAACAGAAGAGTTGGTAAATGGAAGTACTTCTATACCAACTCCTTGTGAGCAATTTTTCTTTTAGTGCCAAATGTTTTGCAAGATTTTACATGGCAAAACTGTTGCCCTAATTTGAAAGTTCTTATAGAAATACTGCCATTTTTCCCCATGTAAAATTCAGATCAACCAAAGTGAAGTGAGGAAGTTAATAACGTCAGAGAAATTTATCATATGCATTTGAGAATTGAAGAATCTGTAGTGATTGTCAAGTAATTGAAGCAAACCAATCATATTCATAAATTAAACAAATCTTCGGACATATATTTGCTACCACTTTCTTATTTTTACTAGATTTTCTAATTCTCTCTTTTCTAATTCTCTTTTGTTAAATAGTTTATTTTCATTGGGGTCAGATTGGACTACTTGTAAGAAACCGTGTGGAAAAGCTTTCAGTTATAGGAGGCGTTGGCTCAATTCGGCTTAGGTATAAAAATGTGGCGTATCTCATAAGTTTTTTAATTTTTTTCAAAAGTGAAAAGCAAAAATTCAATAAATCACAAATTACTAAACCAAGTATCGTACATTGAAAGACTACCACACGGAGATATTTATCTACTGTCTGCAGCAAGTTGGGATCTTTGCATATATACTCGCAATCCTGTCCTCATTTGGAAAAATATCATCCATCGAACAAGGAAAACGTATTCGTTCGTTCGTTGTAGTCTAACTGGTAGTCTGCGGCCTTATTGCCCTTACAAGGAAAACGTCCTAGTCCTAGTGTTTAGATTTTACTGGGCACCTGGGCCGCGAAGCGGCCCCTATCCCATTCATCTGGAATTTTTGAACAGTTTTGGTTGAGCAATGAGGTAAGCAGGCAATGGAGTTGCTTTTATGAATGTTTCAAGCTCTTTGCTTGAATAACTAAAAAGGAATCAAAAATAAATTGAGCAGCTTGCTCTAAACTGTGTTTGTTTGATTTTGGAGTTGTTCAGAATTGTATCAGCATGAGTAAACGTTATTTTCAGAAAGGTTGATGAAATTATTTGTTTTGATAGTTATGATATGAGGCGTCGGAGGTGAAATGTGCAGCTATTGGTCTGTAGTTTTTATCTTTGATATAATTTTCAAATTTAAAGATTTCATTAAAATTTGCTGTTTTACATTCTATGGCTTTANACTCGCACTATGAAGCTCTATTTGGTGCCGTGACCAGGATAAATAAAAGTTTCAGAATGCACAAATGTTTGCAAATAATCACAAATAATCAGCTTTTGTAGTCATAAATCACACTATTAATTTATTTCAAGTTTTCGTGAGACGCCCACTATAATTGTTGACGTAAGCACTATTGAAACTGAAATTTGCAATCCAAATCGTAAACACAAATTGTAGAAGTTAGCGTGATACGCCCCAATGGCGGTAGTAAACAAATAAGTCTGTTTTCAAATAGGCATCACATTTTGTGGCACAAAACTTTGTCGCTGCAATATCTGGACACAACAATCGTTGTTGTAGATCAAATATAACTTTATCAATTCACTAAGAAAGAAATCATACCTGTAGAATCGTTTTCAGGATCACTTTGAACGAATCGGAAATTTTCGATGAGGCACCCTGACATATATCAAGGTAAACACTTTCCGAAAATCTTTTGGAAATCACTTCGTCCAGTAATTTCAACAAGGAAAACGTGTCAGTTTTAAAGCTAAGTATTATGACTTTAATTTAAAATGCCGTGGTAGTTAGTATATATCTTTCATTGAAATATAAGAAAAAATATTAAGTCATTATCTTAAGTTATCACTATTCTATTTTTAAAACGTAGATGCGATCCCTTGTTGAAACTGAACTATTTTTTTTCTGAAATTTATCTGGGGAAAAATTGTATTAACTGAAATATATATATTAATAATATACAAATTCATTTATAGATTTTAAAGTATGCGCTTATAATATTTTTGGAACTAAAGTGGAAAACACCACTTGAAATTTTCCTCTTAGATAAATTCTTAGAATAAAAAATAATGATGACTTAGAGAAAATTCTTCTTGATGGGGGGGGGGAGGGTAATGGGTTAAAATACTTTTTTTTCTACCTAAAAAAATAATTTAGCACGTTCACGCCGAGGTGACCCACCGGTGGGTCACGCTAGATTGTCTCATCGGATGGCACACCGGAGTAAAAGCTGGTAACAAATAAATTTCATTTTTTAGTTTTTTTCCGGGAATAATAAAAATCCGTAACTACCAATTGTTTTTAACAGATGCAATTTTTATATTGAATTGCTTCTTCACTGTGATAAATTTCCTTACAGTGAATTGTTATTGTTGAGAATAGATTAACTCCTCCTGAATATTATCTAATATTGAAATAGTTCTTCTACCAGTATTTTCTCTTTTCCGTCACGCTTTTAGGCGCAACACCCGGCGTGAACGTGTTAAAGCTGAAAAAAAATATTATATTTCAAAGTTTCGACTAGGGGATTTGTATTTTATCAAAACAAAATGTGTATTTCATATTTCAAAACATTTAAATTTCAAACAGTTTCGACAAACAAATTTATATTTTATTTATACAAAATGTGTATTTAATGTTTTGAATTTCACCTACAGGTGTCTCTGGCCACAATAACTGCTTACGTTTTGATGGAAGATAATGCTAATGTGAAGACAATATTTCTCTCTTATTTCATAATTTATCTATTAAAATCTCCTTTCCAAAGTCTCTTACATCTTTTCGCTTATTTTGTTGAGGTATGTTACTTCTTTTCTATTACTTTATATACATAAAAATATTCAAAAGCATTGAAACTGTCAGAAATTTGAGAAATACTCAGTGGATTAAAAATCTAAAAATACACCAAGGGTATATTTTTAAAACATGAAATCAATGATACCCAATTCAACCACATATCTCCATCCTTAGGGAAGGGGACATTAGTAATTTAAAAATCCTAAAAAGAAACCCCAGTTTTTAGTAATATATTTTGATTTTCTACGAAAAAGAACTGCAATATAACTGTTGCATTTTGTTTCACATATGGCACAGTAATCACAAAATAAAAATTGAGTACAGATTTTTTAAAATGTATATGACTCGAAAAATTAGTTCAAAGTCGAAAGAATAAAAAAGGACATATTCGATGTTTTTAGAAAACTATCCAAAGATAACAAACTGTCCCCTTTATCCCTAGCAGTCGTCCCAGCACCAAATGGTGTGGCAGAAGGTGAATTTGATTTCCCTCGATACGTTTTTAAAAATATCAATCACTTCTACTTTTAATTTTTTGATCTGAAATATATTTTTTACATAACTCCATCTCAAACAATTTGTACCTGATTTTTATTGTGTGATTACAGTGCCATCTATGAACAAAATTATAATATTTTGAAAATTAAATTGGAGTAATCTTTTTTCTGGAAAATCCAAATCTGCAAGAAAAAAAAGAAGAAAAAAGAAAGAAAAAAAAATTCTCCTTAAAATTTCAAAGTTGGGGATCGCATCTTTAAACACTTTTTTGAAAATTTTTTTCTTTACCTTTTTTGAAATATAATTTTTTAAATGTTTCCTCTCACCATTTTTTTTTTATCCATGCGTACCTTTCGCGATATTTGATGGTTTACATACTTTTTTACATACTTTCCGGTTTTTCTTTCTTTTTTCTTCTTTTTTTTCTTGCAGATTTGGATTTTCCAGAAAAAAGATGACTCCAAAGTAGTTTACACACTTCCGCTCTACACGAACTAAACTCAGTCCCGGTTGTTGGGCTGCCCGCCTATTCGCTTCCCGTTATTTTGACAACGTTTTGTTGTTTTATCTATCTCATTCGCTTTTTAATTCTGTTTTAATCTATTTATTCACTACATTGTGCTTTTTAATTGGCTTATTTACATTGCCTTTCCTTGCTTTGCAAATTTTAGCGTCGCCTTTTAATTGTATTTGATAATTGTTTGTTTTACCACTTTACATCTTCACCTCCTTTTGTTTTACATTTGAGATTTTCTTGGCTCATTACGCCTTGTTCTTCTGTCTTACCTGTTGTCAATTTGTCATCGACTGTATTGGTTCTTTGACCTATATTAACTTAGGACCTCCGTTTACCTGTGACCTTTTAATGTTTTCTTATGTTCACTTCAGGTACACGTTTTTTTTA